GTTTTCTTCTAGAATTTTTATAGTGTCAGGTCTTATACTTAAGTCTTCAATATATTTTGAATTATTTTTCCAAGTGGTGTAAACCAGAGATCTAGTTTCACTCTTTTACATGTAAATATCTAATTTTCCCAGGACGATTTATTAAAGAGACTGTCTTTTCTCCATTGAGTGTTCTTGGCTTCCTTATCAAATATTAGTTGACTGTGTTTGCTTTGTTTGGGTTTTTTTTTCCTGGTGTCTCTTCTTATAAGGGCACTAATCATATCATGAGGCACTCCCCCCCAACCATAACCTTACATAAATATAATAACCTCCCAAATGTTTCATCTCCAAATCATACTGGGGGTTAGGGATTTGACATACAAACCGAGGAAGAGTGGAAGGAGGCACAATGCAGTCCATCGCAATAGGAAAAAAACATTTGCATTAGCAGTTTTCTGCAGTTTAAAGGCTACCCTTACAAATTGTTAAATGGTCTAATAAATAATTGGTAGTTAGACAACTTTATACCCTTCTGAATTCAGATGACCCTTACCAAGGCCTATTACACAGGACCCTAGCACAAAAAGGAAGTCATTTCGCCTTTCAGTGTTTGGAAAATTTTTCTTAACATCATTCATTTGCTTCTCTATAGACCCACTCATGATTTAGATTTATGAGGTCTGAAGTTTGTTCAGTTGGGGGAGGGGTATTCCGTATGAAGAAGAACATAATATGAGTATGTAAATACAGCCCTTGAGTCCCAGCAACTTAAAAAGGGGTCTGTCCTAGTGAGAACTTCATGGAAAATCCATCTCCAGCCCTTTTGTAAAAATTTCCACACCTCCCCCCAAATCTTTCTTCTCTTCTAAACATTCCATAAAAATCTCCATCTTTCACTGATTCTCCTTTCCCCATTCAAAACTCGTGTGTGTGTGTGTATTTTATTGTGGTAAATATATGTAACACAAAATTTACCATTTTAATCATGTTTTAGTGTACAACTCTGTGGCATTAAGTACATTCACAATGTCATACAAGCATCACCACTTCCATTCCCAGAACTTTTCATCATCACAAACAGAAGCTCCACATCCATTATACAGTAACTCCCACCCCCTTCTGCCCTCGGTCCCTGAGAAATGCTTTTTTACTTTCTGTCTCTATGAATGTGCCTAATCTAGATACCTCATGTAAGTAGAATCATACAATATTTGTCCTCTTGTGTCTGGCTTGTTTTATTTTATTTAGCATAATGTTTCCTTCCCATTCAAAACTCCTCTCCAGCTCTTCTTGGTCCATGAATTTCTTCTCATGTCTTTCTAAAATAAATTATTGTAACATCTCCAAGCAACTTCTAGTTCTTGCTACCCATTATCTCTATAGCAAGAGGCAAAAAGAGCCCTTTTTAGAATAGGATAGGAGTTGGATAAGATTGTGAATATGAAGATAGTAACATGTGCCCCCTCAACACCTACTCTTCGGGAAAAATCGAATACTTCTTTACACTAATGTGGGAATGAGTAATAAAGCCTGGTGTACAGCTTTTTAAACAAGAATCAGGAAACCTTAAATCAAAGGAATGAAAACCACTCTTTGTGGAATTTCAGGTAGAGGGGATGAGGTGTGTGATATTTGAGGGTTATAAAGAATGGCAGTATTGATTCTTTGAAAAGCCACCAGGAACACGGATTCTACAGAATGTCACTCACCCGTCCCCATACCGGTTCATCGCAGCATCATTCCCGTGTGCCGTCTGCTGGGACGATGAATGAAATCGCCATCCTATCAGAACAGCCACCACTTCTTGCCACTTTCCCTCTTTTTACGATATTGGTGGCTGTCATGGGCAGTACGGGATCCACCGCATTTTCCTAGCTTATGTAGCTGGCTTGAGATGCGCTCAACATGAGCGTCAGAATGCCTGTAAGTTCCCTTCATCGTGCAATAGCAATTGAGTTAGAAACATGGCCTTATTCTCTGAACAATTACTGAAAGAGACAAAAAAAAAATTGGCAAATCGATTTGCAGAATGTTGACTTCATTCAGAAAGTGCATTAAATAAATAATGCAGTGAGGCTTTTGGAGAAGGTAACTAGACGAATGCAAATGCCTCTTTTTCTATATATAAAAAAATCCTCCAAAGCATGGCTGGTGCTCAGCATGTCGAATCTGCACAGCAGTGCGGGAGTGCCAGAGCTGTGATGGTCTCCATCCTGGGCTTGCCTGGCTTCGGCCTGCCCCAGCTTCCCTGCTGGGGTAAGAGCCACACAGAAGCTAGGCCTTCCCTGGTGACTGAGAACAGAGCTTGTCAACCAGCTGGGAGACAAGAGTCAAGTGCTGGGAAAAGGTAGCAGATGAAAGCCTGGCAGGACGCTCATGTTACTCCCTCCAGAGGGTAGCGAGTCAGAAGAAAAGCTTTCCTGCCTTGTGCAACAGGCTTTGTGCTCATGTGCTCCGTGGATGCCAGCGCCACTGGGTCGTGGGTAGGAGAACCTCATGAGGTTGCTAAACCACTTTAATTTTCTAGGAGAATCCCTTTTATGGGGGAGAAAGAAAGCATCAGGGACATTGCTTAAGCAGATTCTGGGAACACAATGAGGGCTGTAATGAATGCAAAGTTACTGGGTACATGGCCTGAAGTACTCATTAACAGAATGCAAATGTTCTGGAAATAGATTTTCTTTTCCATTCCCTTTAGGGCATTCCATATATTTCTGCTGTGTCCAAAGAGACCCATTTTCCTTTATGCTCTGAGTTAGAACTCTTTTTAGCACGGAATTTGTCCTTCTCCGTTTATACAAATTCCGTGCTAAAAAGAGCGGGGGACTCCAATGGTCAGCAGGGTCCTCACCAAAGTAGTGGAATGCAAATGAGCAGAAGGCAAACTCTGTAGAATTAGGCTTTAGTGCCTGGAATTATTACCAAGACTCAGTTTTTTGTTGTTTTTTTTTAAATGCCCTCTGAGGAACAAGCAAAAGAGGAGACAAAAGAAAGCTTCTAGGCTAATCTGATGTTTATTAATGGCCCCAGGCTCTGTGGAAGAGAGTGGAGCTGAGATTCAGTAATTACCATGTGGAGCAGGAAGGAACACTGAGCTAATCATATCAGATAAGAGACATAAAGCCAGAAAATAGGAAGTGAAGAGAAAAACCAAGCATCCAGGTTTCTTATTCTTTCAGCATCTAAACCTACCTTCTTACTCCAGGTCTTTTATCTTGAGAAGGAGAAAAATTACTTTATATTCAGACCTCCAGATCTCCCAGCTCTCTCTCTTTACCTGTAATATTTCAGAGATCCAAGGCTAGAGAGGTAAATAAGATAGGGGCTTTCAGAGTATGCTCCCTGGTTCCCTCTGCCCTCCCTGCAGTGCCAGAATATCACCCACCACTGGTTTGAGATACACTGACCTGGGCATATCAACCTCAAACCTACTCCTTCCCCTGTTCCATGCTCCTTCACAAACACTTAAACAGATGTACCTAAAGAAAGACATATCAAGGCAAACTTACAGGACTGTTCACTCCTGCCACTGAACTTACAACTTCCCATTAAGGAAAAACCCAAATTTATGAAGCTCCCAAAGTCTCCTCCTTTCAGAATTGGGAATGAATGTTATCATTTAACAAAATAGAAAATCTTAGCTAAAATACTGTATTTTTCTGTTTCCTACTATTTTGTAAATGTTAGTCTTGCTCCTAATTGTCAGATCTCTCACTGACAGGTGCTTAAAAAGAAGCTCTGATGCTCAAACTTGAATATTGCAGGATGAGATGTTACTGTGGGGAAGATTATGCTCCAAGTGGATTTGGTGGGTAAATAGAGGCAGTGTGATGTGACAGGGCAAGCACAAGACTCTGGACTGGTCTCAGCAGTGTCACTAATTCATTCTACTGAGGGACCTTGAACACTTCATACCTCTGTTTTCTTTTATAAAAAATGGAAAAATACATTTTATGGTGGTGTTCTGAGAGTCCAATGAGACCATGCGTGTGAAAAGTTTTTAGAATTATAAAAAGCCATACAAATATGTGTTTTTATAGTTAACTCCATGTATCAGCTGCCTCACCGGTATTCCCTCCCTGCCTACAATCCCAGCAAGCACCCAATAGTCACCTACCGTTCGCTTTTGGATAACATGACCAAAATATATCACATCTAACCCACCTCTCCTTCTCATGGTCCATGTTCCTCTACATGCTCTTAAACAGATGCACCTGGAAAAAAAAAAAAATTGTAAGGCACATTTATAGGATTATCCATTCTTGCCCCTAAGCTCCAATTTCCCAACTAAAAAAAGGACTCCAAGCCAGCCTGTAGTAAAAATCTTGTTTTTATAAATGCAGTAAAATATTTTAGCATTATTTTTAAAGAATCTTAACATGGATGAAATAAAATATACATTAATTGTAAAACCTGTTATCAAAGAAACACCTCATCTTATATTGTTTTGCATGCCTAGACTTGGAAGAGAGGAAAAAAGTTGGATGAGAATAAGAACTAAAATTTATTGAACAACACTATGAGCAAAGCACTCTGCTAAGTATTGTCACATCTAAAGTTAAAAGCATGACTCATTCAAAGGGAGCACGTGCCAAAGACTTTTTAACTCATGAATGAGGGAACCGCAAGATGGTTCAAAAAGAATTAGAAAGATGGAAGTATTTACAGAGGCTGAAAAAGAAAGAGGAACACTTGAATAAGACTTGTAGTTTAGGTGTAGATCTGGTTCATGTCCTAAAGGTCGCGGTAACAGGATAATCTTGGAGTTATCTTTCCAATCCAGAAAACAGCTTTATCTCTTCTGGACAAAATTAATTTGCATTTCTCTTTGACAAGAATCATTTGCATTGCTAGCAATTTTCTGCAAGTTAACTTTTATACTTCTAGAGTTCCAAAATATACTAATTGATAGTAAATAGCAACTCAAACAAAAGTACCCACCTAGAGAATCAGATAATCCACCCAACAGGTCTACACACAACCCTTGCTCAACACTGAAGAGACTTACAGATTTCCAAATTTATGATGACTGTTTTTAACAGTACTTCATGCATAGTGTCTGAAAGCATTTAATATTTGTTATTTTGTGTGATCTACACAATTCTGAAAAGTGGTTATTTTTAATTCCATTTACACAGATGAGGAAACTGAAATCAAGGAGACAAAGAAATCTGTTCAAATTCAATATAACAAATGATTACCTAGATCTGTTGAATTATGAAATCCTTGCTTTTCTAGCTACAGTGCCTGTATTGGCTAAAGAAAAATGTTTTAATTTTCTTTATTGAAATACAGCATACAGATGGTAGAGTGCAGATACCTTAAGTATACAATTTAACGCTTTTTACATATAAGGGTGTGTGTGTGTGTGTGTGTGTGTGTGTGTCTTTTGCCAAACACATATTACCATGACCCACATCAAGATGTGGAACATTTCTAGTGCCCCAGAGGTTCTCATGCCTCTTTCTACTCAATAGCTACCAACATGACTAACTCTAGGTAACCATTGTTTTGGACATCTCTCACCATAGATTAGTTTTGTCTGTTTTTCATAAAATGGGTCATACAGTAGCTGCTCTCTTGTGTCTGTTATCTTTTGCTCATAATTATGTCTGTGGCATACACCTATGTTGCATGTGCTAGTATTCTTTTTTAAAAAACTGTTTAGTATTCCATTGTATGAATCTACCCAAACTTATTTATCTGTTCTCTTACTAAAGGGCACTTGAGTTGTTTCCAATTGTTGGCTATAATTTCTAAAGCTGTTAAGAGTATTTTTGTCTATCCTTTCTGTGTGCATGAGCATATATTTTTGTTGGCTGTATACTCAGGAGTGGAATTGTTGGGTCGTAGGTTATATGTATTTTTAGTTTTAGTAGGTACTGCCAAATATTTTTCCAAAGTGGTTGCACCAGCCTACATTCCTACCAGCAGTGTATGAGAATTCCAGTAAGTTCACATCCTTAGCAACACTTGATATTGTCACTCTTTAATTTTAACTATTTTGTGATATGAATAGGTATTCATCTGCACTTAAGTTTGGTACCTTTCCTGTTATAAAAAAAGGAAATAATACGATAGTTCTATAAAGCATTAGGTTTGAGAAAGTGAAAGCAAATAATATTAGCTCTATCTGGAGTGAGTAGATGGATCCCAGTGCTTCCAATTTGGGGGCTACTTTAATAGGTGAGTGTAACATACTGGAACAAAACTATGCCTTTCTGATACATTCCCTTCTGTTCATTTTGGGTACCTTGGTCTTGGTGGCATTTACCAATCAAATCTATTTGATAAAAATATTTAGTAATATTAGAGAGCGTCTTTAAATTTAGCACTGTATAAAGACTGTTAGGAACCTAATTACTACTGTGTAAAGAACTATGCACATTTAAATAAATCTAACCATAAATAGAAACAAACTACAATTAATATGGAGAGATCTAACTTCAGAGTGGGTCCCTATACCAAGGAGACAGTGAACACATGGTGCTCAGTAAATGTTTATGAATGATATCGATTGCACACCTCTTCTTTCATTATCTGTTCTGAGTGGAATTTTGCCTTTTTTTGTTGATGTTCATTGTTTTGTTCTGGTCCATATTAGATCATTTGCCTAAATCAAGGCAGACTCACTAATTTACAGAAAATTTGCAGTTTCTGCAGATATCCTGGATTTACATTTTTTTTTTTTAATTTTTTTTTTTTTAAGATTTTTTATTTATTTGCGAGAGAGAGAATGAGAGACAGAGAGCATGAGAGGGAGGAGGGTCAGAG